GATTAGACATCAGGAGGCGCTACTTCACAGTCAGAGCAGCTAGGATGTGGAACCAACTTCCAAGCGAAGTGGTGCTGGCCCCTACCCTGGGGGTCTTTAAGAGGAGGCTAGACGAACACCTTGCCAGGGTCGTTTGACCCCAGTACTCTTTCCTGCCATGGCAGGGGGTCAGACTTGATGATCTGCTCAGGTCCCCTCCAACCCTACCAACTATGAATCTATCTCATGCAGCAGTACTTTTATATTTTATCTAAAAAATAAGCCAGCATTTAAGCTCTCAAAAGTAATATTTCATTGATTAATTCCCAAGCCCTTTTGTGCTATTTACATTTACATACACTAGGTTCTATTTAAAAGATCAAACCACTAAAAATAGACATTTTGTTCATTTTAAATCAGTAATTCAGAGCTTGTAAAAGTGTGGGATCAGTAGTCATGGAAAACAAACACAGAAGCTGCATCTTGGCCAGTGGGAATGCAAGCTTCGTCTAGCACCCCACCTGGTACATACTCAACTGAACTCTGTTTGAAGTCTAACTTACTTTCCATGCACATATAGTCCTTAGCCGGGCCATGGAAAATGGCAACCAGGAAGTCATTTGTGGAGTTAGTTTTTATGATATAAACTCACATCTGCCAGAACTTCAATTATGAGAATGTGGTCCCCTTCTTGGTGTGACCTTATTGGTTCTCATTACCTAATCAGAGTTGAGTTATACATGGAAATCACCAGATCTCTTGAGAGTGGTACTGACAATTCAGCAGATTACATACAATTCTTTCTAAGTTACTGAGGAAAAGTTTCAGCTAGAGTCAGGTGGCATTGTGCTGGAGGTGTCTTAATTATTTATGCAATTCTTTTTAATTATGGTAGGGTCTCATTGTGCTGATACTCCACAAATATAAAGGAAAATATGGCACCTCTCCTGACAAGCACACTGTGTAAGCAAACAAACAAAAAGTAGTAAACTGAGCAAAATACTCAGAAAAGGGGAAAGATTTACAATTTTTACAATTTCTCCCAAACCTCTCGCTCCTACCTGCTCTGTGTTCAAATGCTTCAGGCAATGAGCTGCATCACTGTGAACCAACAATCCCCCTTCCATGTGCTCCTGCCATAGAAGATGATTCAAGCTGAATGTGGAGAAGATAAAGCAACCAGCTGAACAGCCTGTCTCTGTATCCTTCCCATGTAACTTAAAAACTGCTTAGCCAAAAGGCTCCACTATCTCTGAAGCAAATGGCTGTTTTGTTGCATTTCTGTTACTTATTATTTTTGAAGGCTAGGTTGTTGTCCTAACATTTAGTCCTTCATCCAGAGTTGCAGTGGACTGTTTTTAGTCTGGCCCCCACCCATTCCACCTGGGTGACCCTACCAAGAGTTAAAGGTCCTACCATCACAGTGATCAGTGTTAGTAAGCATAAGCATCCCCACCAGGTTAAGGCACAGTCTCCAAAGAAATCAAATGTGCTAATGAGTCCAAAGGTCTCTGCTGGACAGCTCTACCTGCTCTTCTTTGTCCCTGCCCTACCACCTTCCAGCCCCCCCCCACACACACTCCCCACACCCCGACTGTGGTATGTGTGGAGAGAGCCATACTTGTGCAGAGATTGCCCTAGATGGAAGCAGAATCAGACCTGTTTTATCCCTCTGAAGTCTCTGCTGATAACCTCAAATGGTTTCTCACCTATAAAGGTGGACTTGCTACTTTCACTAAGAATTTATCTGGCAAGACTTGAGAGATGGATCCATGAAGACAAACTTTTGATAGGTGCCTTTCAAAACCTGATCCATTTTAGAGTCTGGATTTCAGAAACTAGTCTGCTCATCAAGTACAGTGGGTGCTGATGAGTCATACTCCTTGCTTATTGAGGAAGATAGTTTTACCTAGTTGGGTGGAGGTGGAGTTTTTTTTAAACCTGACTCCAACTCCTTCACTTCTGTAAGTTATTCAATATTATTTTCTTGACAGATATATTCAGCCTGTCACAAATGCATTATAAATAGGGGGTTTTTTGCACTCATTATTCCAGAATGTAGCAATAGTCACTGATACCACCACCATACCATGAGGTTTATGATGCTAGGTTTTACTGTTTTAGTTGTAGAGCCCTTGACAATGATTTAAACAACTGTTCAACAAAAGACATGATGAAAACATTATATCAGTAATAAACGATAGTCTCAAATACTTTTCCGTCCCTTCCCCCCAAGAATTACAGCAGAACACACCCTTCTCACCTGTTCTTATTCTTGCCTCTCTAGCTATTTTATATTTACATGACAACAGCATGCAAAGACTCTGATCAGCTCTGTGGCCCTGCTGTTTTCAGCTCTGTGTGAATGCAGAGGTAGTCGGTTAGTCATCATCCAAGTCCGCAAGAACTTTTAGTCCTAACCCTCCTCTATAAAGAAATCCCATAAGCAGCCCTCAAGACATAACCATTGTTTAAAACTAACTCAGCTTTCAAAGAACTACAGCTCTTCTTTATGAATTGCTTGCCGTGGCATGGAACTTATTTCCACTGCACATGAAAGCTCCCACACATCTTATCTTTGCCTTTATACCAAAACAGGCTTCTTTGCCTTCATGTACAGCACATTGCAAATAAAAACAACAACAAAAAGCACAAACGTCCACTTTTTTCCCATTGGAGAAGATGAGAGAGAAGAGCCACGTATGAAAAATGCTGCTCACATCATGTAATGCATTCCTGGATGTCACTCAGATATCATAGTGGTGGGTCTATAAAAAAAGAGTCTAATAGAATTTGGGAGCAGGGGGAAGCAGAACAATGAACTCAACATAACCAAGTCTCCAGCAGAGAACCTGGCCTCATATTCAGTGAATATAAGATCTGGCATTAAAACACAAACCAATGTAAGTAGTACTAACTGCTGACAGTTAATATTGCTTAACCAAAAAGGCAAAATGTTTCAAGTGCTTCTTAAGAAAAACTTTATGTCCTGAGCTGAAATCCTGGCCCAAAGGAATGAAGTTTACCATTATCATTGCCTTCAGTGGGGCCAGAGTTTCACCCGCTGTACCTGCATGGAAAACAAAGGTGTTTCTTTTTATGCTGATAGGAATTGAAAAAATAACATAAATTAAAAATAAATGTAAGAAAACTGCATTTTTGCCTTGCTTATTTGAATATTACCTACAACCGGCTTAGCTACCTTAAAGACAATTTAAAAATCCATTTGGTTTCCACTGGACAGAAAACTTAGCTCTTACAGGGTGAAATATAATGTATTATTTTCCACCGTCCTGACCTGTTTCCTCGTTAGGTAATCATATTGTGTCAACCTAAAATTCCCATTTTCAATTGGTCACAGTGCTCCTCACTGCCTGTGCTACCCTGCCGTTAAACAGTTTGGCTGTGCACTCTCACCGAATCCGCACCTCTTCATTTCAGCAGTCTGCACCGTGGCGCCTCCACATTTTTTGCAAATGTTTTAGCATCCGACAAAATCAGAGGTGAATCATGCATGTCAGATCCTTATAAATGAATGAAGACCACAAAATACTTCCCCCACTGCTGCCCAGATCAGGCAACCCAGGCACAGGGAGAAGACAGGCATCACATCTCATTGCCCTCCATACCTTTGATTTTTAAAAGGCGCACAGGAGAGACGCGATGGATGCGAATGGATCAAAATCCCAAGCCAGAGCTTACTGCAACAACGAACACGAAACTTAAAGCCTGGAGCTGCTGGGTACAATCACGTCGGAGCGAAAAGAAAAATACCCACTGCCCTGCTCCCTCGCCAAGCAGAATAATGGCTCTTCCGGAGATAACCCGAGCGTCACCGCGTCCACACGCGGAGATGCCCGAAACGTTGCTCTTCAGCGGGCAACGTGGCCAGCCGACCCACAGTCCCTTCCAGCCACCAAGCCACACGCCTTCTCGCATCCCCCGCTTCACCCTGCGGAGCCACATCCAAGGGGCTCAGTGCTCCCCGCCTGCCCAGCATCGCCATGAGCCAGGGGCACGAGCCGCCCCCCGCCCCGCACCGCCCGGCCCGGCCCGGCCCAGGGGGAGAGGGGGCAAAAAATGAAGCATGGAGAAGACAAGCCCAGGCTTCTCCTCCAAGCCACGTCTCTCGCTCGGGCACCGCCGCTCCGGCACACGGGCAGGGGAAGTGCCCAGGCTGCAGGGAGGCAGGGAAGGGGCCAGGCGGGCGGGAAACCAGCCTCTCCCGGCTCGGCCCAGCCAGGCGCGGGATCCAGGCAGCCGCTGCCCCGTCCCTTACCGTGCTGCGCGCGGGCCCCGGGCAGCAGGACGAGCAGCAGCAGCAGTCGCCGGAGGCGGGCAGCGCCCGGCCGCTCCGCGCAGCCCCCTGCCCGCCGCTGCCCCCGC